ATATTAAGGTTTAGAACCCTACAAAAAAATTGATAAAACACAACTTTACAAGACTTTAATAAATATGAAGGCCAATACCCTACAGTATTATACATTATGGAGACTAGCCTCAGTAAATTTAGATCTAAAATTACAACCATACAAAAATATACATGAAATCCTCACAAATCCAAGGATCAAATGGATTCCCTATGAACAGGTTTTGTTTATATATTTGGTTTATGTGTTTTGGGGTTTTTTTGTCCTGTATTTTTTGTTTGTCTAACTTTATATTATTTTTATTTTATTTTATTTTTTATTTTTTCTGTTCGTGATGGTGCAGAGGAACCTTCATTATGACAGGAAGAGATCTCCAGCAGAACTAGGTCCAGGGAGAGAGGGAGAGTGACCATCTGCAGTCAGTTGGGGTGAGGGTAAAGGGGAGACAAAGAAGGAACAAGGCATAGGCCCAAACTGACCCAGAATTTAGGACATCCCAGCTAGAATTTGTTAATTTGTTTTAAAATGTTCTGAAAGAACGTTTAGCGAAGTTCAAGTGATGTTTACAAAAGAAGGGTGTTTGTTTGTTTGTTTGTTTGTTTGTTTGTTTTTTTAACAGTTCCTTGATTATTATCTCTAAATGATTGATACAGTCATGAATTATTTGGTGATGACGCTGTTAGGCAACTGCGCTTTGATATTCTTAAAATCAATGTTGCACTGAAAACATGCACTGCAACATCTAACATTGTAGAACATTCTGAGGAACGTTCCCTCAACAACATCTCCAAAACATCTTGCTGGCAAAATTCTCCACCTGATCACATTACAGAAACGTTTCATAAAAAAAACAACAACAAAAAAAAAACACTAGAGGCCGAGATAACATCTTGAAAACATGTTTTTTAAAATGCTGGTTTGAGAATGTTCCTCTTTTGTTGTCATGGAAAACAATCCGTGGCCCTGAGAACATTCTCCGAACATCCTCAAATGTATTCATACCCTCCCATTAACGAAGGGAAAAAAACAGCTGTCACTGAAATAAGTTGAAATTGACAAAAGTAATAATAAATAAATATTTAATGAAAATCATGACATCGCTTTTGAATTGTGGTTCAAAAGAAATATTAAAAGAAAAAACAAAACAAAACAGCAAACAAGCATGATGGGACCTGTAAACTAATATTGTGTTGAACAACCCTTTGAGCCAATCACTGCAATCAAGTATTTTCTGTAACTCTCAATCAGTCTTCTGCACCTGTTGACAGGTATTCTGATTTTGACCCACTGCTCATCAGCAAAGTGCTCTAATTTGTCCGGGACATTTTTGTTTTGTTTTTTAAAAATTGTTATTATTATTCTTTTTACCCACAATTCAAAAGCAATGTCTTGTATCACAAAATAATAATTTAGCTTTTTTTTTAAAAAAAAAATCATTATTACTTTTTTCAGTTTCTAGCTATTTGAGTGACTATTTAGAATTTTGCCTTTTCTTTAATGGAAGGATATAAATTTGAGGACGACTGTATATTAGTATGATGTCCAGTATATTATTATAAGCTATATACTATACACATAAAGTCAAATATGCTCCTCGCTGAACTGTAAAGTAGAGGTAGGCTCCACATAAAATGAAAGACAGCCTACCTTTAATTAAATTTTTATGTCAAAATTATAGACTACTTAAAGCCCACACATCCCAAATGACCACATTATGCAAAATGAGGGGGTCTTTGAAATCAGATTTTGCCTGAAAATCAGTCCGATCATGTGTGTTATTGGGTTTTCCTCAGAGGGCTGCCTGCCCCTGAGCCCACGCAGAAAGCAGCCTCATCGATCCGCGTCCCGTCTCTCTCTCCCCCCCTCACTCACTCTGGTCCCGCGGCCGGCCGATGAGGCTGCCTGGGTGACTGGGAACCGTCAGCTGGCCAGACAAGAGCCGCTGAAATGCTCCGTCAGCTGCCCGACAGCCACGGACGACTCAACATGCGTCTTCTTGCCCTAACAGCCGCGCTTTGGGCGGCAATCGGCGGCGATTCCAGCAGCGTCCCCTCATTCATCCTGCCGTTCACCGACTGCGTCCGGAGCCGCGGGAAAGACGGCTTCTACCGGGGAGCGATAGACGTCACCGAGTCCGGCAGCCGGTGCATGAACTGGACCGAGGTGGCCGGCTTCACGGAGCGCTACCCAGGGAAAGGGATAGGCGATCACAACCACTGCCGCAACCCGGACGGCAGGATCCGACCCTGGTGCTTTTTCAGGAGCCAGAGAGGCAGAGTGGACTGGGGCTACTGCGACTGTAAACAAGGTAAACGCGCAGGCCTCTTCAGCAGCTGATGTACTGTGTTTTTATTAGGGATCCACAATGTAAAATCTGCAGAATATCACTCAGATCCCATGCATACCGATCCCCCAATTGAACTCAGATCATTTAAAAGTCAGGCTGTAATCAATACTGTAAATCCCTGCACATGCAATATTAATTTTACTTAAGGTGATGAGGAATCTGCAGCTGTTTTTGTTTTTGTTTGTTTTTTGCACTGTTGTGAACAGTTGTCTAGCTGCACTGGTGTTCAACTCCATCCTGAAGTAATTAGAAGGGACACACCTTCAGTCTCCCAGGTGTGACTAGTGCATGTGATGGCAAGTAGGAATCATTCATGCTGAGTGCACAGCTATTTGTTGAAGGCTTCTACAACACGATCAGCTTAAGAGAGTAAAATAAAGTGTACTATGTGAGCTAAGTAAAATGACAACTCCACACAAGGTGTAAGTCGTGCATCCCTGGATTGATGGAAGTGGAGAGAGAGTGGTGAAAGGCATAGAGTGTGTCATTTCCATTTGGCACAAGGAGGGCAGCATGTGGTATTTTTAGTCTTGGTGTGTGTGTGTGTGTGTGTGTGTGTGTGTGTGTCTACAGCATGGATAAATAACCTACCACAGATCAAACTGATAAACATTTATCCAGTTGATCAAAGCTGTCTGGACAGTCACGTGCGTCTGTAGGTGAGGCGTGGAAGCCTGTGTGTTCTGTGCTTTTGTGAAAAGACAGGCCTGAACATACTGGCTGTTCTCTCCAATGCAAGTTCAGATATGCAGATAGCAACACGAGACAGACATCCACCTGTGAGTATTTATGGATACGTGTGTGTCAGCCCAGACATGCATCCAGATATTCTCTGTTGGCCTACGTAACGCTTCATATACACAAAGCAATCAAACTACTTCAGCAGTATATACCATGCATGGGTTCACTCTGTGACTGCAACTATGTCTTTCATATTAAAGCTTGTGTATTCTTTCCCAGGTGTAAGACATTTCTCAGAACCAGTCATGCGCCTGTAAATCAGTCATGGAATATAATAGTTTAGCTGCGAGGTATGGAGCCCTACAGGGAGAAAACATCTTTCATTCACAGGGGAAAAAATGCTGTGTCAACAGTTAACTGTAAAATGCCCTGACACTGAAGAGTGAAATATGTTTTTTCCTCATGTTCCATGTCTCATGTTCTTTTTGTAGAAAGCTTGTGATGTGGTGAAATACACATGAACAATCATGTTTCTCGGTTTGATTCCACTGGCTTTACAGCAAATTCTGCTTTTTTTTCTGTCATCCTGCTTCCTTTACTCTATTTTTCCTACCAGTTTTAACATCATCTGACACATCTGTTTTGCATTGTATTTTTATTTTTTTGCACTGTATTGTCTTACTGTTCTCAATCCTCTCGCCATCTCAGGCTCAGTGCGTCTACAAGGAGGCCGCTCCAAGCTTGACGGTCGAGTGGAGGTGTACCTGGGAGGAGCGTGGGGGTCCGTGTGCAGCGACGACTGGGGCGACGAAGATGCTGCGGTGGTTTGCCGACAACTGGGCAAAGGGTGAGAGGGTGCACGCGCGTTCGGATGTTGCACTGGTTCCCTGTCTGACTCTTTCTCTCACGTACAGATTCAGACACAGGTGCAAGTGCATTCACCATCTGCCATATAAATTCACAATCTGAAGCAGCTTTTGGAGGTCTGACAGATGGTCGAGCGCGATGGAAAATTGGTGGGAGTGTCGGGGAAGTTCGCAACACTTACACATGCTGGCATTCTCTTCCTTTCACTTCATAGTCTACACTTTTCTGTGCCTGACCCTCGCATTCCAACCCTCCATTCCCCGGAGGTATTTAAATACCTTTAGTGCTCCGCTATTTACGTTGTTACTAGCCCACTCCCTCTCTCAATGTGTGTCTGTCCGTGTTGCACATACGAGGCCTGTGACTGTCTTGTGGTCTGGA